GTATTCTAGAGATTATCTTTGGGTTACTGCTACTACAGGTATTCTAGAGATTATCTTTGGGTTACTGATACTACAGGTATTCTAGAGATTATCTTTAGGTTACTGCTACTACAGGTATTCTAGAGATTATCTTTAGGTTACTGCTACTACAGGTATTCTAGAGATTATCTTTAGGTTACTGTTACTACAGGTATTCTAGAGATTATCTTTGGGTTACTGCTACTACAGGTATTCTAGAGATTATCTTTGGGTTACTGCTACTACAGGTATTCTGGAGATTATCTTTAGGTTACTGCTACTACAGGTATTCTAGAGATTATCTTTAGGTTACTGTTACTACAGGTATTCTAGAGATTATCTTTGGGTTACTGTTACTACAGGTATTCTAGAGATTATCTTTAGGTTACTGCTACTACAGGTATTCTAGAGATTATCTTTAGGTTACTGCTACTACAGGTATTCTAGAGATTATCTTTAGGTTACTGTTACTACAGGTATTCTAGAGATTATCTTTGGGTTACTGCTACTACAGGTATTCTAGAGATTATCTTTGGGTCATTGCTACAGGTATTCTAGAGATTATCTTTGGGTTACTGCTACAGGTATTCTAGAGATTATCTTTAGGTTACTGCTACAGGTATTCTAGAGATTATCTTTAGGTTACTGTTACTACAGGTATTCTAGAGATTATCTTTGGGTTACTGTTACTACAGGTATTCTAGAGATTATCTTTAGGTTACTGTTACTACAGGTATTCTAGAGATTATCTTTGGGTTACTGCTACTACAGGTATTCTAGAGATTATCTTTGGGTTACTGCTACTACAGGTATTCTAGAGATTATCTTTAGGTTACTGCTACTACAGGTATTCTAGAGATTATCTTTAGGTTACTGTTACTACAGGTATTCTAGAGATTATCTTTGGGTTACTGTTACTACAGGTATTCTAGAGATTATCTTTAGGTTACTGCTACTACAGGTATTCTAGAGATTATCTTTAGGTTACTGCTACTACAGGTATTCTAGAGATTATCTTTAGGTTACTGTTACTACAGGTATTCTAGAGATTATCTTTGGGTTACTGCTACTACAGGTATTCTAGAGATTATCTTTGGGTCATTGCTACAGGTATTCTAGAGATTATCTTTGGGTTACTGCTACAGGTATTCTAGAGATTATCTTTAGGTTACTGCTACAGGTATTCTAGAGATTATCTTTAGGTTACTGTTACTACAGGTATTCTAGAGATTATCTTTGGGTTACTGTTACTACAGGTATTCTAGAGATTATCTTTGGGTTACTGTTACTACAGGTATTCTAGAGATTATCTTTGGGTTACTGCTACAGGTATTTAGGGGTGTCTAGCGATTCAGAGAGGATTAAGTCAATGCTACAATGGGAGTATGTGTATTTGGGCTGCTACAGGTATTCTAGAGATCATGTGTATTCATGTACCTTGTGTTTTGTTTACATTGCATAAACAGTTTTCTTTGATAGGTTTATTGTCACGTTTTTGTCAAATACAAACAATTATGGTCTACCAGAATTATATCGCATATGTAAGTCATCTAACATTCAAATGTAGACCATAAGTTTCCTCCACCACAGATGAAGAGAACCTTTCACTTATGCCAAAGTAATATTAACTGTAACAAGTTCAATAATTTGAAATGTCACACCCCTGTAGGCATGCAATATATTCAACAAGTTCATTTAATACCTTGTTATATCATGACAAGTGAAAGATTCTATTTATCACATACACTGTATTTCTAAAAAAAATCAGTGAATCTATCAAATAAATTTCCCATGTAACAGGTAAGACAGACTTTTGTGACAGAGACCGTATGTTCCTTCACTACCGAAAATAATGAACAATCATGTTAAAAAGATGAAAGATCAACTTACCAATATCACATGATTACTTGTAAAAGGGTTTTTGATTCCAAATAGGAATTAACTTTATCTCAAATATGAATGTTTATCTTTTAATCAATATCAAGCATGGAGTGTAAGCCAAAGGGAAGAAATTTAAAGTTCTTGTCTGCAGGCTTAAATGTTTGCCTTAGCTCCAAGATTTATAGATATCCTAACAATATGTGAAATGGAAACAAAAAATCCAGGACAATTCGTCCTTGTTGATATCCTAATCTTTGTAAGTAAGAAGGACACAAGGGTATCAAATACATGCTTATGTGATCCAGAGTGGCATACTAGAACAGGTGTAAAATTAGGACATTTCTGCAGTTAGTAAAATTATCAAGACCTTGATAATTAAGGTTATTTAAGACACTGAGTGAACTTCTCAGATATGTAGTGGAATACTACAGTCCAAACCACACAGAATATAGTAATATTTTGTGTGAGAGAATAATAATGCTTAACCTGTAGTTTCCTGTATCACATACCTGATGTACACACAAATACACACACACACATATATATATAGATAGCTGTACTTATAAAGGGTACTCATGCAGGTCACATTAAATTTGGGTTTGTTTTTATATCCTGGTCACAATTACAAAGCTTCTATGAATTTACAAATGTAAAAGGTTTTAACAAGCAGAAGTAGTCAACTCAAGTCAGAACAAGATTATATTTAAAGTGATACATATTGTCATTAGTCATTATTTAACCTGAACAATGTTGATAATTTTCCCAATTTTAACTGAACTATACTTTCAATCTATATATAATACATCTGCAACGAGCAAATCAAATTTAACATAGGGCAGCTGTTATTACAAGATGGTGAGGTAGGTTTTGGATGGTGCTAGTTTTATAGGATGGTTTGGATAAATATCAAAATAGGGTCAGGTAGGTTTTTATTACAGGATGGTATTGGTTGGTAATATACGATGTAGCAGGTAGTTATAGGATGGTGTATGAGATGTAGGTAGGTGTTACATGATGGTGTAGGTGAGGATGGTGTAGTTAGGTGTTACATGATGGTGTAGGTATGTAATACAGGATGGTGTAGGTAGGTGTTACAGGATGGTGTATGTAGGTAGGTATTATAGGATGGTGTAGGTAAGTGTTAAAGGATGGTGTATGTAGGTAGGTATTATAGGATGGTGTAGGTAGGTGTTAAAGGATGGTGTATGTAGGTCTTACAGGATGGTGTATGTAGGTAGGTATTACAGGATAGTGTTGGTAGGTATTACAGGATGGTGTAGGTAGGTGTTACAGGATGGTGTAGATGTAGGTAGATATTATAGGATGGTGTAGGTAGGTGTTACAGGATGGTGTAGGTAGGTAGGTATTATAGGATGGTGTTGGTAGGTGTTAAAGGATGGTGTATGCAGGTCTTACAGGATGGTGTATGTAGGTAGGTATTACAGGATAGTGTTGGTAGGTATTACAGGATGGTGTAGGTAGGTGTTACAGGATGGTGTAGATGTAGGTAGATATTATAGGATGGTGTAGGTAGGTGTTACAGGATGGTGTATGTAGGTAGGTATTATAGGATGGTGTAGGTAGGTGTTAAAGGATGGTGTATGTAGGTAGGTATTATAGGATGGTGTAGGTAGGTGTTAAAGGATGGTGTATGCAGGTCTTACAGGATGGTGTATGTAGGTAGGTATTACAGGATAGTGTTGGTAGGTATTACAGGATGGTGTAGGTAGGTGTTACAGGATGGTGTAGATGTAGGTAGATATTATAGGATGGTGTAGGTAGGTGTTACAGGATGGTGTAGGTAGGTAGGTATTATAGGATGGTGTTGGTAGGTGTTAAAGGATGGTGTATGCAGGTCTTACAGGATGGTGTATGTAGGTAGGTATTACAGGATAGTGTTGGTAGGTATTACAGGATGGTGTAGGTAGGTGTTACAGGATGGTGTAGATGTAGGTAGATATTATAGGATGGTGTAGGTAGGTGTTACAGGATGGTGTAGGTAGGTAGGTAGGTATTATAGGATGGTGTTGGTAGGTATTACAGGATGGTGTAGATATAGGTAGGTATGACAGGATGGTGTAGATGTAGGTAGGTGTTTCAGGATGGTGTAGGTAGTTATTATAGGATGGTGTAATTAGGTGTTACAGGATGATGTAGTTAGGTGTTACAGGATGGTGTAGGTAGGTGTTACAGGATGGTGTAGGTAGGTATAACAGGATGGTGTAGGTAGGTGTTACAGGATGGTGTAGGTAGGTATTACAGGATGGTGTAGGTAGGTGTTACAGGATGGTGTAGGTAGGTGTTACAGGATAGTGTAGGTAGGTATTATAGGATGTTGCAGGTAGGTATTATAGGTGCATACATCTTAGAACCTAGGGGACGAAATCCACATCTGATATACAAAATTTAAAGCAGACAAAAAATTGTCAGCCCAGAGTTTGAATATTTTATGTTCAAGTTGAATTTTTCTTTCATATAATCCATATAATGGATAACACTTGTGTAAGTCATGTCACTGTTAAGCAATTTTCATATGAACATCCACCAGAATAAAAGGAAGAAAAAGGAATATGTAAACCTGTAGGGAAAAAAGGAATATCTGTCAGTCCATTATCTGTGAAGCTTTGAACTGTTGATGCCTTTTCCTAAAAACATTCACCTATTCATGATTATGGTACTAAACTCAAGCCCCCCTCCACATGGATTTATGACACACCTGTAAATATTATGGACTGTACACAGTTGTGATAAAAGTATGCTTTTAACAATGATCCATAAAGTCATAACTTGCCCGAGGACTTATAATTCTGACAGGTGACATGCGATACCACCTGACTGACCTACAACATATACATCAGAGTTGACCTTATTTGAATTCCAGGTATAACCTCTGATCCAAATTTACAACGAAAACACAAAGCATCACACCTGCAATTAAAATAGCAAAGCTAAGATTTTCCAAATACAAAACAAATGAGTACTTCATGTTTGTATCCGGAATAACATTTGTCATCTTATTTAACTCAGCATTCTTTAAATAACTTTATTTTTTTTAATTCTTGCATGATGTTTCGGTATTGTTTAACACATTTTATACATACATCAACATCTGTTTCGAACAGTTTTCCATCCAGAAGAGTTACTCTGCAAATCATGCTCCGTGCGGACCGCACCTGTGCAATCCTTCGGGAAGTGTGCGGAGCTCCGGGTTCTTCTTCTCTCTCCATGTTTAATTTTAGTGTGTACTTTTGTGTTTACCTGTGAACGTATAACGTTTTTCATAAGGTGCAAATACTTACATACCATATGAATTCTAATCACACGGTTTTTATTCAAATATTCCTTACTGGATTAAACTTATTCGATAAAAACATAAATCGACAATATAGAAATCACTTAATCCCGTGTGCATTTTTTTCTCTGCAATCGCTTCCTTATTCACCGGTTGGAACGAACAGGTAGATTCAGGTACACAATTGTACAGGTAAATTGAACAAATTCGAAGACTACAAAAACAATTAAATATCATACAACAATTAATAAGAATGCATAACAAAAACAATACTAACCGTGTATGAGATAGCGTTAATTTTGTAATCATTGCGTCCTACATGATAATCCAAGATGGTCCCAGCCCAACGCTTACTAAACAACAGCGCCACCTGGATGACGTCACCAGCCAGGTATGTCGCGGTTTCAACATAGGTAAGGGGAAAGGTGTGCGGCGAATTTCATCGAATTGAAAGTGCCTGGATTTTACTGTCATCTTAATTAGGAGTTAATCGTCCGATAAACAGGCTGTGACAAAGTCATTACAGGATGTCACAATCAACAAAAGATTGTGAACAAATTATTTCGTGACATTAAATAATGGATTACAGAGACATAAAGTGTCCCCATTGTGATGGTATTTTATGCAAATTAGTGTGGCTGTGTTATATACATTTCTGTAGGTCATGACTTTGATATTGATTTAATAAATACATACATTTTTTAGCGATATATACATTTTTTAGATGCTCTGCGATATTGTAATACATATGAAAGATCGCGGTTCACCTGAAAATTAACCAATGTTCTACGAGTTGTTTACTAGAGAAATGATATTTCTAAACATCTGTCATAACCCTATTCGTGGGTCATCTTTATTGTTATCGTATATAAATCTGTCATATACATATATATATGTATTAATATTATCGTTTTCGTAATTTCAAAGAAAGGAAACTACTCCGCCCACATTAGAAAATATAAACCATTCGTAATGTGAGCGTGTGTTAAAAGACTTTCACAGAGAGTTTGTGGTTTTTTCGTGTCTCTGTTTTTATCAAAGAAATTAAGGAATAATTGTAAGAAATTTCCCCGTCACTCAGTGTTCGCTCCGCTGTATACAAGTATCAATAATTTGAAGTTGTCAAATATGACGTTTAAAGTTTTTCGCCGTGTTGACCCTTGAACACCTTGTTGAAGTATCGTTAACCTTGACCAATGACATTGAATACTATGTGATGTAGAATTTGATGTAAAGAGCGTATATGTAAATAAAATCTGTTGAGGGGTTTTCAAGATACTGCATTCATTAGGGGACGGATAAAACTACATGCACCCATCCTTCCTTATCAAAACGCCGGGATACTTGTTTTTGGAACATTTTCTTCAGGTTGGTAATGTCAATAGAATAGAAGTTCTTATAACACAACCAGTAGAAGATTAGAGTGTGACGTTTCGATGACTACACCGTCACCTTCATCTTATAACACAACCAGTAGAAGATTAGAGTGTGACGTTTCGATGACTACACGGTCACATTCATCTTATAACACAACCAGTAGAAGATTAGAGTGTGACGTTTCGATGACTACACGGTCACATTCATCTTATAACACAACCAGTAGAAGATTAGAGTGTGGCGTTTCGATGACTACACGGTCGTCTTCATCTTATAACACAACCAGTGGAAGATTAGAGTGTGACATTTCGATGACTTCACGGTCACATTCATCTTATAACACAACCAGTAGAAGATTAGAGTGTGACGTTTCGATGACTACACGGTCACCTTCAACTTATAACACAACCAGTAGAAGATTAGAGTGTGACGTTTCGATGACTACACGGTCGCCTTCATCTTATAACACAACCAGTAGAAGATTAGAGTGTGACGTTTCGATGACTACACGGTCGCCTTCATCTTATAACACAACCAGTAGAAGATTAGAGTGTGACGTTTCGATGACTACACGGTCGCCTTCAACTTATAACACAACCAGTAGAAGATTAGAGTGTGACGTTTCGATGACTACACGGTCGCCTTCAACTTATAACACAACCAGTAGAAGATTAGAGTGTGGCGTTTCGATGACTACACGGTCGCCTTCAACTTATAACACAACCAGTAGAAGATTAGATTGTGACGTTTCGATGACTACACGGTCACCTCCATCAGACAAATGACCAGTGTGAAGTGTACTGCCATCGAAACGTCATACTCTTGATATTCTACTAGTGGTATTATGAGAACTTCTATTCTATAAAACGGCGGGACAAATATACATTGATCCTCGCTTTTTTGGATGGAATAAATGATTTGATAAGTTTCGCTAAGATTATAAAGTTACAAACTTTTGATACTACAGTATTTATCAAAGCTTTATTTCACCAAATATTTTTAAATGTAAAAATCCATATTAAGCTAGTAACACTGAGACTATTTTCTGCCCGTTTTACATGTACTGTGTTATATGTCCCTGCCTATACCTACATCAAGGGAGACAAACATATCTGCTGGATTCTAACTATATTGTATGTTTTTTTGTGATGTAGTCTCTCGCTCAAATGAGAACAATGTATTCAACAACGGAACCAACAGACAAACTAACGGGCATCAAGCACGGCCAGCTTTATATCGCACAAAGAAAAAGAATATTTCTCGATGAGATCATTATGACGACTGTAAAACTTCGCTATCATTTTCATTAATCTGTATCTTTGAATCCCTGTGTTACGAGATTGTGCGCGAGTTGACGACTTCTTGTACGAAAAACGTGGTAATTGGAACAGGCATTTCAAAATTAAATTATCTGCACCTGCATAGTGTAGAACTATCTGTCCATGTTAGTTTGGTTGCAGGAAGAGATCGAGACAAGCGGTTGTAGTAGAAGAAACTCTCTTCACGATCATGTATGACAGAGTTATTCCCCTTTATATATTAGAGATTCCTTTACAGACACGTTATTTTGAGAAATCAATCAAATTCATACAGTATTGTACATGATATAATTGTAAAAAGTATACTTTATGCATGCATACATTACCCCACAAAGTTTTGTTTTATTTACTTCATGATGTATACGTAAAATTGAGTTCCTACGCCTCTTTAAATATAGTACAATGAATTACTCCTCAGAAATCCTTTCTGTCACAACCAGACCACAGTAATTACATTACCAACAAGTGTTATTTTCTTCAGGTTTTACTTATTCTCACAACCTGCAGCCTGGTGACACGAGGACAGTGTGACTGAGGTCACAATACCACACCCCCCCCCCTCCCATCCCAGTCACATGAGGACAGTGTGACAATGGAGTTCAAAACAAACCCCCTGGTCACAAGAGGGTAGTGTGAAAGAGGTCATAATAACCCTCCCCCCATCCCGGTCACAAGAGGGCAGTGTGACAGAGGTCATAATAAACCCCCTCGATCACATAAGGGCATTGAATCAGAGGTCATGATAAATCCCACCAACCACATGAGGGCAGCAAGAGGGAGTTCACAACAAAACCAAAACGCAAGAGCATGGTGACAACGCTGCCCCAGCCCCCCTCCCCCAGTCATACAAGGGCAACGAGACAGAGAGGTTATTATAAACCCCCATAATATGTCCATCATCCCTACTAACATCCTTCCAACAACATAACAGTTAAATGTCCTGGTCTACTGAAGAATATTTTAGTTATCTATCATAGCTAGGTAAGGAAAATGGTGACGGTCTTTTGTCAACATACCTGAAGAGTGGTATGATTGCAGGCAAGTACAACTTTGATTCGTGAGATGCCTGCAAGTGAGACAGAGAATCTTACCTGTTATGTATAAAAACCTGTATTTCACAGTATGAAATAAAAGGATATATAACGTATCAAAAGATTAAATGTAGGAAGGGGAGCTAATGAGATGAACCAATACTTGTATATGAAGGTATAAAGAACAATATTCAAAGATTTTCCAAAATTTTACACAGCGGACAAAAAGCCAATGGCATAAAAAGAGGCGAAGTATTTTATTTGCTTTTTTATTGAACAGTGTTTAATGCATTGAAAGTTAAACTGATGTTTAAATACATACAAAAACAGCAGGATTACATCAACATATCAGATGTAGAGTCAAGCTGAGAGCACACAAACATTAAAGCTTTCAATATAATTATCATATTCATCTGACAATGAATAAACCAAGACACCACCTTCCATGACACTGAGTTAGAAGTTACATGTGTTGGCCCATGGCTACCCCTTCACCTTACAATACTTAGAGTCAGAGGTAATGTGTTTGAACCTCAGGTCATCCCTTGAAACTTCTGTATGAGACAGAGGATTGTGTTGGCCCCACAGGCCATCTCCTAAAAAATCTGTGGCCTTGAGTAAGAGGATTGTGTTGGCCCCACAGGCCATTTCCTAAAACCTCTGTGACTTTGAGTCAGAGAATTGTTTCCCCCACAGGCCATCTCCTAAAACCTCTGTGACTTTGAGTCAGAGAATTGTGTTGGCCCCACAGGCCATCCCCTAAATCTTCTGTGGCTTTGAGTCAGAGAATTGTGTTGGCCCCATAGACCATCCCCTAAAACTTCTGTGGGTTTGAGTCAGAGGATTGTGTTGGCCCCACAGGCCATCCCCTAAAACTTCTGTGGGTTTGAGTCAGAGAATTGTGTTGGCCCCACAGGCCATCTCCTAAAAACTTTGAGTCGGAGAATTGTGTTCTGTGTGGCTTTGAGTCAGAGGATTGTGTTGGCCCCACAGGCCATCCCCTAAAACTTCTGTGGCTTTGAGTCAGATTATTGTGTTGGCCCCATAGGCCATCCCCTAAAACTTCTGTGGGTTTGAGTCAGAGAATTGTGTTGGCCCCACAGGCCATCTCCTAAAACCTCTGTGACTTTGAGTCGGAGAATTGTGTTGGCCCCATAGGCCATCCCCTAAATCTTCTGTGGCTTTGAGTCAGATTATTGTGTTGGCCCCATAGGCCATCCTCTAAAACTTCTGTGGGTTTGAGTCAGAGGATTGTGTTGGCTCCACAGGCCATCCCCTAAAACTTCTGTGGCTTTGAGTCAGAGGATTGTGTTGGCCCCACAGGCCATCCCCTTAAACTTCTGTGACTTTGAATCAGAGGAATGTGTTGGCCCCACAGGCCATCTCCTAAAGTGTCTGGCTTTGAATCAGAGGTAATGTGTTTGCCCCTGGCTTCCTTCAATGTTCAACGACTATTAATCAGCGTACTGGGTTTGCCCCCAACCACACACTCAACCTTTCATGACTGTGAGTGAGAGGTAATGTGTTGACCCCTGGCTTCCACATTCTACTACTTTGAGTCAGTGGGAATTTTGACCTGTGGTCACTC